CTTGGCTTTCCTCAATGATATACAGTGAACAGGAAGTAGAAGATGAAATAAACCCTTTCCTCCCCAAGTTGCTTTTGGTCTGTGTTTTATCACAACAGTGCAGAGCAAACTAGGACAAACAGGTAGATTCTACATGCAAATATCATTTTTTCTCTAGCCAACACCATTGCCTAACTTTAACCAAAACCAAAACTTTAGATTGTTAGTATGGTAAGGATGAATGGAACCTTCTTACTGAGTCAAGAGTGAGTGATCACTTTAATCAGAAACTTTAAACAAATCTCAGAGCTGTTTAAAAAGCACACTGCGGCACTGACATTATCCTCACATTGCTTGCTTGCTTTCAGTTTCATTTCCTGATGTGGCATTTCACTGTTAAGTAAAAGCACAGGTATTGCTCTATCACATTCCTGCTTTCTAAAAGAACGCTCATCATCACCTCCTGTCAGCCTTGCTGTACATCCCTCTCACATGTGGATGCTGAAGGAAAACACGACCTGGAAGTAGAGTGGTGGTAACTGGGGACTGGGAAGGAGGGGGAGGACAAGGAAAGAAAGGTGGGTAGATATGATCAGTGCATGCTGTATGCATGTACAGAAATATCACACTGAAGTGATCTATGTGCACAGTTAGTGCATTTGTAGGAAAAAGACTAGGTTAAAAAAATATAATCCCAGCACTTGGGAATAGAGACAAGATCAGGAGTTCAAGATCGGTTGTATCTACATAGTAAGTTTGAGGCAAGCCTGGGCTATATGGGATGGTATCTCAAAATGAAAGAAAGAAAGAAAGAAAGAAAGAAAGAAAGAAAGAAAGAAAGAAAGAAAGAGAGAAAGAGAGAAAGAGAGAAAGAGAGAAAGAGAGAAAGAGAAAGAGAGAAAGAGAAAGAGAGAGAAAGAGAGAAAGAGAGAGAGAAAGGAGAGCGAGAAAGAAAGAAAGAAAAAAAAAGAAAGAAAGAAAGAAAGAGAAATTCCACAGCCTGCACCACAGAGATAAGTTATAAGAGAGAAAGAGAAAGAGAGAGAAAGAGAGAGAGAAAGGAGAGCAAGAAAGAAAGAAAGAAAAAAAAAGAAAGAAAGAAAGAGAAATTCCACAGCCTGCACCACAGAGATAAGTTATGAACATCCTTCCCATGTACTGCCCCCTCCCCATTTTAATGTAAGCCAAGCTACCCAGAAAACAATTGCCCTGGAACTAGGGTTAAGTGTATCCCAAACTGCAGGTTTCCCCAGGCGTCTGACAGAAGCAAACCAAGATCTCTCTAAAGGATTAGTTCTACATGGAGCATCCATCACGATGTACAGCACAAATTCAGAAGTGACTGGCAACATGGGAAGGTAGAACTTCAAACCAAAGACAGCTCCATCAAAGAACAGCTACACTACCCGACTCCTGGACTCCTGCAAAGTTCCAGGAAATGGAAGTCATTGGAATACAGCCACACAGAACTGGAAACCATAAAAATGGCTGAGACGATTTTATAAAGAACTAAGCAGAAATTTCAGAACTGAAAGATAAAACTTGGCAACCTGGGGCTTGGGAGATGGCTCAGCAGTTAAGAGCAAGCACTGCTTTTGCAGAGGACCTGAGTTGAGTCCCCAACACCCATATCAGGTAGCATACAACTTCCTGTAACTCCAGCTCTAGGAGATCTACCACCTCTGACCCCTGCAGGCACCTGCACTCAAGTACACATACCTGCACGCAGACATACATACATAGATACAGACATAGATACAGTTAAAAATAAAATAAAAACCTTTTAAAAAAATTTGGTAACCTACAGATTTCTGATCTAAGTTCCATGATAAAGAAGTGGAAATATGAGTATCACTTTCAATTTCTGCACTTTGCCTCTAAAACGGCTTGTGGCTGGGTCTGGGCACAAAGGCATGGAATCACCAAAGTGAGTAGGCCACATGGTGCCAAAATTCAGCATGGTTTCTGAGTATGTCTGTGAAGATGAGTCAGTTGCAATTGGCAGACCACCCTCCTCACTGCGGTGGGACATTATCCAATCTATTAAAGGAACTCGAACAGAATAGAAGACAGAGGAAAGAAGAATCTGCCTTCTTTTTCCTGCCTTAGTATTTGTGCTGGGACCTCTCATTTCTTCTGGACCAGTTCTTGGGTTGGAATGAACATTAGTCACTCCCCTCACTCTCAGGCCTTGTGATGGTTAGTTTTTAGTCATCAACTTGATACAATCTAGAATCACTTGGGAAGAGAGTCTCATTGAGAGACTAGATCAGGTCTAGATCTAGTTCACCTGTGGGCATGTCTGTGGGAGGATTATCTTGATTATGTTTTTTGACATGGGAAGACATGCCTACTATGGGTGGCACCATGCCCTTTTACTATGACTTACAACTATCTCTTGGCACAAGAGCCCCAGCAGTACAAGTAGAGAAAGCCTGCTGAACAAGCACATACGCATCCATCTCTCTGCTCTTGACTGTGACTAGCTGTTTCAAGTTCCTGCCACCTTGTTTTCCCTGAAATGATGGACTGTTACCTGGATCTGTGAGTCAAACTGACCCTTTTTCTCTGAAGTTCTTTTGTTAGGTTATTTTATTACAGCAACAGAAAATAAAATTAAGACATGCCTTTATTCCAGGACTGAATTATACTACCCTCTCTACTGTGTCTATGTCTTGAAAAGGCAGGTGTTTGGCTTCTCAGTCTTTGTAATCCAATGGGCTGATCATTATTATTATAGTGAATGAATCAATACCTCCTATGGGTTCTGTTTGCTGGAGAAATTCAATACACTAGCCTTCATCTTCCTCACTTGTCTATATTGTATTAGTGCCAAAGAAAGAAACTATTTGCCATAATAAAACTCATTATTAATATTTGGGTACAATGCTGTGCTTTGGTAAGAATGATTTAGTCACTTTTAATACATTTCCAGTAGCAGCATCCCACTTTCTGACTTACCCAGAAGTATCTTGCCTTTTTATGCATTTGCAAAGAAATCATTTTGTGCACACAGTACTATGTTGTTTATAAAGGCCTTGGGGGGCATATAAAGCAGATGCTATTTATATCCTGCATTCCAGGTGGGCCAGAGCCACAGTGCTCCTAAGCACGTAATTGCGAAGACCAGCACTACCACCAGAACACTAGTTCTTTGGTTTCATGTCCAGTAGTGGTAGTTTTTTTTCCCCTGTGTTGCTGTAATAATCTGGAAAAATACCTGTCTACATTCCAGTCCTCTTACGGTGCCATGTGGTTGACTGTCTCTAATGTGAGACCAGGCTTCATTTCTGTGGATGTGGGCAGTAGCTATCCATTGCTAATAGGCGGTAGGAAAAGGTGTGGATTCTTTTTAATCTCAGGGTATGACTCATTTTCAGAGTAAAAAGATGGAAACTTTCGTTGATTTTTTTTTTATGACACAGAGTCTCACTCTGTCGCCAAGGCTAACTTAGAACTCATTATGAAGCTCAGGCTAGCCTTGAAGTCGTGACAATCCTTCTGTCTCCCAGCTTCATGATTACAGATATGAGCCCCCTCACTGGAATATCTTTAAGATTGGAAATCAACTTTAAAAAAAAAAAATTCTAGACAAATGAGAAACTAAATTTTTTCATGCATTTGTTACTCCATGTTCTACCTTCCCATAAACCAGCACCACTAGAAACAAGACAACTTGCTGGATGAGAAGACTGATCAACTCATAGTACTCTCCACATCCCTCACAAGGGTGTGGTTAAAAAAAGAGTGTATCTTCTGTGCCTTCCATAGCCAAAACTCCTGGCCTGTCTGGCACCAACTGCTCATGACTAGCTAGCTGACTTTATTTCTGGCTTCCTTTTTTACTACTAATTATATACTATTATAAGACAGTTTGCTAATTTATTTTGAAAATATCTTTCTAGCCAGGCATTGTGGTGCACTCCTGTAATTCCAGCACTGGGGAGACTGAGACAGCAGGACAGCTGTGAGTTCTAGGCAAGCCTCAGTTACATACCAAGAAACTGTGTTACTAGGTGCATACAGCTTTTAAATTATGCACATATACTTCATATTATAATATTATGATAAGCCTTTTTAATCTGTAATAATATTTTTGTTTGAAATTTTACTTTTTCCCACCACTTCATGTGGTAGAATTATGCACTAATAAATGCAAAGTGTTAACAATATTTTTTATTGTTCCAAGAGAGTTTGGTATTGTTACAAATATGTTGTTTTTTGTTTTTTTTTTACCCTCTAATGCCCTCTTTTCTGGAAACTTAATGATGAAAAACCATGAATTCATTTAGAATGCATCATAGCCTAGTGTACCCCGTCACACTCATGACTTTATTAACAAATACAAGGAGTGCTAGTTCCTTTTAAACAGTTGTTTTTGTTTTGTTTTGTTTTGTTTTGTTTTTGGTGAACTTTAAAAAAATTTTTTTTTAATTTTTTTAACTTTTACAAAAACATTATTGTAATGATGAAAAACCATGAATTCATTTAGAATGCATCATAGCCTAGTGTACCCCATCACACTCATGACTTTATTAACAAATACAAGGAGTGCTAGTTCCTTTTAAACAGTTGTTTTTGTTTTGTTTTGTTTTGTTTTGTTTTTGGTGAACTTTAAAAAAATTTTTTTTTAATTTTTTTAACTTTTACAAAAACATTATTGAGAATTTCATACATGCATATAAGATTTTTTGATCAAATCCATACCCACCCCCTCCCCTCCAACATTCCCCCCTCTGAAGAGGTAACCCTAAAATATCTTAAGAATTAGATACAAGCTCCCAAATACTTTTGTCATTTTGACATTTTTTTGCCTTTGGAACAGAGTGTGTTGCTAACAGGCCCAAGGACATTTTGACTTTTAGCCCAGAAACTGGCTACATTTCTTTGGGGTCTTTTTGCCTAACTGCCTAGTCAATTCCTACTTCCTATTCTTATTACTAGCAACACCAGTAATGTACATATACAGAAATACCTCAGCTTCCCTCTCAAAAAGAATTCAAAAGTGGTAAATGACTTACAATAATATGCTGGTAAGGATCTATGAATGACATTTCGGTCCCAACTGCAGAGATTTTTCACAGTTCAAAGGTCGTCTCTGGCACTCTAACTTCTTTACAGCCTATAAAATAAACAATCATCATTGTTAATTTTGGGCTCAGTTCAAATAATTAAGTGATGGTGACTAGGCACCTTAGGAAGTGAAAGTCTACTAGAGGGGACAGATGGACTGAGCTCCCTGCCCAGTTGTGAAACCTGCAAGCTACTACATCAGCCTGCCAGGCAAAAAGCACCCACTGATGCAAAAGTGGTATGACTGTTATGAAGGTAACCAACCACTTTCTGGTTGGATTTTTTTTTTCTATTTTTGTTTCTTTCTTTGTGTGGGTATATGTGTATGTGTATGTGTTCATGTGTGTATATGTATGTCTGTGTGTATGTGTGTGCATATGTGTATATGTGTGTATGCGTATTTGTGTGTATGTGAATGTGTCATAGTGTATGTATGGAGGTCAGAAGATAACTTGCAAGAGTCGCCTGTCTTCTTTCACCATGTGGCTCTCTGGGATCAAAGTCAAGTCATCAGGCTTGGTGGTAAGCACCCCTACCCACTGAGACATTTTTCTGGCCCTTCTGATTGGATTTGAAGCACACTCCACAGGAGCAATTCATATTTGATACTATAAACCTGGCTAAATCCCAGGGGTAAGGAGGTCATAGGCCCTAGGGAGGAAGCTACTATTGTTTTGCTAAGTGGACATAGTGTCAAATCGCCATCTAAATATTTATGTTTGTAACCCATGAATTGGTACCTTGCTTATTCTTAATCTTTTTGACAGTGGGTAGCAGTTAATGTAGAGACTCAAAACTGGCCAAGATGTTGAAAAAAAACATTACTATTGAATGCTCAGCTCTAAATGAAACATCTATATCATCTACTCCAGGGTTCATGGAACCTCATGGAAGAAGAGGCAGAAAGAATGTATGAGCCAGCAGATGGGAAGAGAGCCGTGAAACACTATATTCTGGACATGGCATGACTGTTGCACACATGAACTCACAGCAGCAAGGGCTACCTGAACAAGAACTGCACAAGACTGGGATCATCAATATTCTATCAAGGATGAGGGAGGGACTCACAAGACCCCACCCCTCCTTGAGGAGCTATGGAGGAGTCATATTCTTTAGTGATACAGTAAATGGTAAGTTGCCTTTACTCAGGTCAACAGCCTCCCACCCATGCTCATGCAGGCAGCCCTAATTAAATGCAGTGAGACACATACCTATACACAACGTCATCAGAGTAAAATGGGGAGTTGTTGAGAAGAAAGGGCTGCATGATTCAGTGGGAGGAGGAAGGGGGTAACAGGAAATAATGGGGGGATTGTGATCAAAGTGCATTTTGTATATGCATGTGTGTATGACATTGTAAAAGAATAAATACATTTTCAAAATATTCAGTGAACATATCTGTTATTTCAACACAAATTTTTTTCCTCAAAATTTTATGAAATAACACATCTCAGTATTCTATTAGTAACAGCTTATTTGGACCATCTTTTCAAGTATCTGTTATGTTTAGTGTATAAATTCAGAAATGTCTTTCAGAATAAATCACATTAGTTTTAAATATTTAAACCATGCTTTCCTAAACAGAATAATTTGGTGCTTTAAATGAGAATGTAGCCTATAGGCTCCAAGTATTTGAACACTTGGGCAGTTGGTGGCATTGTTTTCGGGGGGTTGGGAGATGTGGCCTTACTGGAGGAAGCACATCACTAGCACATCACTAGGGGTGGACTTTAGCCTTGCCCCATTTCGAGTCTGTCTCATTATTATTTCTTTTCTGTTATTGTTGTTTTTGGTGGGGGTTTTGTTTTGTTTTGTTCTGTTTGAGACAGTTTCTGGCTGGCCTGGAACTCATTGTGTAGACTGAGCTGGCCTCAAACTCACAGAAATCTGCTTACCTCTGCCTCCCGACTCCTGGGATTAAAGGCATGTACCACCATACATGGCCCAGTCATCATTATTTTTACCAGGAAAAAGAACTTGTTTTGTTTGTTTGTTTGCTTGATTGCTTTGAGGCAGCATCTCTGGTAGCCTAGGCTAGCCTCAAACTCACTCTGTAGCCAAGGATGAGCTTGAACTTCTGATCATCTGACTCCACCTCCCAAGGGCTGGAATTATAGAGTGCACTCATGTGCTCGGCTTAAGCATGACTGTATTTATCTTTTAATCACACATTTTTAATTTTTTTTTACATTTACTTATCTATTTTGTGTTTCTGTGTGTGTATGTGTGTGTATGCGTGTGCACATGTGTGAACGCACATGTGCATGAGAACAGGTACATATGTGTATGTAGGTACACATGTGCCTCAGTGTGGATGTGGAGGTCAGAGGACAACTCAAGGGAGTCAGTTCTCTCATTCCACTATGTGAGTTCCAGAGATAGAACTCATGTTGTCAGACTTGGCAACAAGCACCTCCACCCACTGAACCATCTTGCCAGTTCTGCTAATCATACATTTCTATCAGGCTGAAGACGAACATTTTAAATCAATTTTGATCAAGGTGAGAACAAACCATCATTCTGATCTTATCTCAATAAATCATTATAAAATTTGTTTTGCATCTCCTTATGTTAAACTTAGCAGAAAAGTTTGCCAGGCATGGCAGAACACACCATCCCAGCATTCCGGAAGTAGAGGTAGGAGTTGCTGAAGTTCAAAGTCAGCTGGGCTATCTGAAACTTTGTCAACTCCCTCTCCCTGAGAAAAAAGAAAAAAAAAATGATAATAAATCAGCCTCTCACCAAGTACTTCTGTGATACAGTTTGAATATTTGACCCCACCAAAATTCATTCTAACATTTAATTGCCAAAGACCAGATGTGGTGACATCTGCTTTTCACCCCAATACTTGGATGGTAAAGACAGGAAGATCAGGAATTCAAGGTCATCCTCTACTACATAGGTTGACATCCGTTTGGGCTGCATGATACCCTGACTTTAAAAGAAAGAAAAGAAATTAGATTCTGTGCTGCATAGCTTCGGTTGTCAACTTGACACACCTGGGAAGAGTGAACAGTTGGGGAATTTCCTCTATTGGACAGGTTCTGGGCATATCTGAGATATTTTCTTGATTTTTGAGTGAAGTGGGAGGGCCCAGCCCACTGTAGGCATTACCACCTCTGGGCTGGTGGTTCTAGGTTATATAAGAAAACAGGCTGAGCACAGACCAGAGGACCAAGCCACTAAGAAGCACTTCTCTACGGTCTCTGCTTCAGTTCCGGCCTCCAAGTTCCTGCCTTGAGTTCCTGCCTTGGCTTCCCTTGATGATAGACTGTGAGTTGTAAGCCAAATGGATCCTTTCCTCCTCAAGGAGGTTCTGTCATGGTCACCGCAAGGGAGAAGCAAACTACTACATTTGGTAGTGCCAATGGGAGGAGAGCCTCTCTTGGCCCTTCTGCCTTCTGCCATGTGAGGAACCTGCATTGCTGCTCTTGGCAGGACGCTGTACAAGACGCCACTTTGGAAGAAGAGAATAGTTGCATCAGACACTTTGGCCTTAGATTCTCCAGCCTTAGAGCTATGAATAATGAGTCATGTGTGGTAGCACACGACTTTATTCCCAGTACTTGGGAGACAGAGGCAAGCAGACCTCTGTGAGTTTGAGGACATTCTGGTCTACATAGCAAGTTCCAGGCCATCTGGGGCTACAGGGAGACACTCCCCAGAAAAAAAAGAAAGTAATGTTTTTACATCTTAGCCAGTCGATGGTATTCTGTTATGTCAGTCCCAAACCAAGACACTCAGCTATCACATCTCTGGTTTTCTTGTAGTTGTATTTGACTGTTATTGTCACTAACTTGCAGGTTTCTTTCAAGTGAAATCTGGCCAGATCATAATTAATAAAAACTGGCAGAAATCATGTTATCCTTTCTTTATTGCCACCTAATAACTACACAGGCTTTTTAAAATGTATCTCTCTCCTGCTTCACTAAAATATAAGTTCCAAAAAAAGCAAGCATTTTTCTGTTTATTTCCCTGTGAAATTCTTAGTTCCTGTAAAGATAGGCAGTGAATAACTGTTAAATGCATGAAAGAATAAGTGAAGAAATTAATGAATGTATTTATATAAATAAGAGAAATAATTTCAAGACACTAAAATATTTAAAACAAGCCAAAGAAAGTTAATTTTCTATCCACTTAAAAATGGATTCATCCTCATCACTAGTTATAGCTTCTATGCCATCTTTATTGGTCCATTTCACTGTAAGGAAATGTCTGAAGTTAGGTAATTTATAAAGAAAAGAGGTTTATAACCCAAAGGTCATGCATGATTCTGGTCCAAGTTTGAGGACTTTAATCTATAAAAGCTTTTTGCTAGTAGAGTTCTGAGACAGTACAAGGCATCACGTGGCAACAGGTTGTATGTGGGGGGGGATGTGATGTATGTGGGTGTGTGGGATGTACATGTGTGGTATGTGGTGTGTGTGGTGTGTAATGTGTGTGTGTGATATGTGGTATGTGGGTGTGTGATGGGGTGTATATGGTGGTATGTGTAGTGTGTGTGTATGGTATGGTGTGTGTATAGTGTATTGTGGTATGTGTGTGTGGTGTGTTTATGTGAGTGGTGTGTGTGTGTGGTGGTGTGTCCTCTGTCTCTCTGTCTCTCTTTATAAAACCACCATAATTCAGTCATGAGGACTCCATCTTAATGACCTTACCTAGTACTAATCTTGTCTCCAAACACCCACCGCTAAATACAACAATCAGATTGTTTCGATCATCTTAATACCTCAGAGTGGGATTAATAGCCAATGTGAGTTCTGAAGGAAATGAATTCCATTTAAACCCCAGCACTATCCTTTTCTTTGTCACTGCTGGTGCAGGGTTCTTATTTCCAGTTTATTTTCCCCAATCATCTATATATTACAAGCATATTATCATGAATATTTCCTTATTACATCATACTGTGCCTTTGACTAGCCTCTAAGTACTCTTGACACTGCATTTTATTTTGAAGGAAATACATCATCAAAAGAAACAGGCAAAACTGCACATAATAGGGAGATTTGTGACTCTGGTATTTATACTTGAATTTGTAACATAAAGAAT